TATATATATATATATAGATGTATGTACGAATATATGTGAATCGTTAATAGGATAAAGTGATTAATTTCACTTTTTGAATCTTAAATTTTTAAAGTCAATCATCAAGTTGGCATTAAAATTTTTTTTTAATTAAAAAAATAAAATTACATACTTTGGCCTGCAAATGACTTACATGGGATACAGTACATGCATATAGTACATTTTGAACACGTACTTGCAATATTAGGAAAACGTATCAAATAAATAATTTATTGCTACGAATCTGCTATATAATTAATTATAAGCTATAATTGCAAATTTTATCTAACGAATATTTAATCCTTACGGAAATGGATTATTATATTATATTATAGTGAAACTATTTGATTATCATAATCTTTTCGCGAGCTATTGAGAAGAGTTACTATTAGATTATTGGAAGAATTAATTCAGAATTCAGATTTATTATTGAAAAAATTAATTAATTCAGTGTTACTGCTAAAATAAATATTGATGTTTAACATCATATTTCAAAATATACACAATAAAATTATGATAAAAAAAAAAGGTTTCCTCCTAAAATAGGGATCTAATTTCACGATACTTTGTAGCTATCACCCATCTAAAGCTGTACCTTATTTTAGTGTTGCTTGACCTTTGCGATCATATGGGAACTGCTTCTTCGATGACCCAAATCTTGAATGTTTATAGATGTATAACTGTGACATATCTGGTCATATAGATAATGTCAAAATATGTTAAATATTCAATACTTGTGCCTTCATCATTATTGTAGATAGTTAACTATTGAAAGGTAATAATCATTTATATAACTATTAAAAATAGTGTGCTGTAATGATTATAATCCGATTTGGCATCAATAGTTATTACAGTTAAAAACTATTAAGCAGTGATTATTGTAAATAATTTAATTATGAAATCAATAATCATTCTATAAAAGAATTATTAGGGAATGATTATTGCAAATAATCTGATTATAAAATCAATAATCACTCAAAAACTATTAAAAAATAATTATTATGAATACTCCAATTATTGGATGCTACATCCAATCACTATTAGAGAATGAATAATCACTATTGTAAAAAATCATTCAAGAATCACTATTGTAAATCAATAGTTCATTTTCATAAGAGAAGTAAATTACACATCTAGAAGCGGACATTAATCGATATTAAATATGTATCTAGTATATTATTCATACATATTGTATTTGCTATGTAGTACATTTCAAATTTTATATACCTGTTATGTATTTGAAATATAAAATGCTGTGCGGGATAGTATCTTCCATCTAAAAAGACAACATCGTAATGACGTGAAAAAGATGTGATTTTCATAACAGTAACGACATGTGACTTAAGTGGACGTAATTATGACGTGCTTTTAAATACTAAAATAGTATGTCGTTAACATTACGTCAAAAAGATGTAATACTGACACCTATATGTGGACGTAATTTGTATGCCCAAATTTTGACATGAAATAGTGCAAACGCTTAATAAAAGTTAAATACAGATTTTATACAATTTCTTAATATTTATTTATCTTTTACTAGTCTTTCTCAATAGGAAATATGTATAGAACTAATTTGACATATAGAATTGTTTTTCTTAGTAAATCTTAAGATAAACCCCGTACATCCAATTTTGATAAAATTAGGCTCGATTATTCAATTCGTTTTTGCAAATAATGTTTATATTAGGACTACATTCCAAAATGTTCGTTTCGTCGAAAAAAATTTTGCTCGATTTGCTATGTTGTAATATACAGGTCGTCCAGAATCCGGACAAATCGAACAATTTCTTTAAACAAAATGTTTTTAATAAAAAATTAAATATTACAAAAAATCCTTTTACATGGTAAATGGATTTGGAATCCTTGCAGAGCAATTATTCGATATCCATTAGCTTGAATGACAGCCTCTATTCTCGGTCTCAAGTGTTCGCACGCATGTTGTAATATAGCACTGTCCATGCCGACAAATGCTGCCTCAATAGCAGTTTTTAATGATGTCATATTGGGATGCCAAGACTTGTTTGTGACCTTTTCAATTACGCTCCATGCGTAATCCAAGGGATTTAAATTTGGACTGTTGGGAGATCATAATGGGAGCTAAGGCGAGCAAATCAGCTTGTTCTAGCAGCTTCAAAGAACATCTGTCGTGTCTTTAATATGTACGATTTGTATCAAAGATCTTCCTCAGCAATTGTACGCATTGTTGGCTCGTTTATTCCAACAATCGATGCTAATTTTCGCAACAATTGCCCTGGGTCATCCGAAATCAGCGCTTGAATTTTTCAACAACTCACGGTACGCTCTTCCTCGCTGGCATATTGGAACCTTCGTTGGACTGTTCTAAAGCCGTATATTTTGCCACAATCATCATAAATGTTGATTTTGGGTATCCAAAGAATCGAATTATTTTCGTTGCTGAGCTCAGCACGAAGGCCTTTGATGATCGCGGCTCTTTGATTATACTTCGCTTGATTTCAATATCGTGGCCATTTTGAGAATATAACTGTTTACTAGAAAGCATCAGGCTTTCTTGGACGCCAACAATCTCTGATGAAGGCACAATATAGCGGAAAACTTAAATTATATTGTTGCTTGTTCTTTTCCAGATTCTTTCCTGGATTTTTCCTGGAGATGTAGCGAATCGTAAAGTTGCCTGATATCTGATACCGGATATCGGATATTCTAAAAGAATGTGACACCGAATCCAATATTTGATCAGATCCGACAATTATTCAGCTGGATACCAGATATTTTCTGAATATTCAGTGTAATTATTCCATTCTGTTAATGATTTTAAGATCACCTTAAAATAGCTATATTAATTTTTTTATCTCCCTAACTTAAAAAGAAAAAGAGAAAGAAATGCTGTTAAATTCAGCTAAAAAGAAATTCTGTTTTGAAATTCTAAATGATGCAAACTTTCAATATACAATTTCAGCCGGATGTATTGCTGAATACTGATATTCAGTTATCCGGCTGAATAAAAAAGAGTCAGATAAAACCGGATACCAGATACTTCTCAGATATCTGGTACAGTTTCAGTTTTTCTCTTACTTACAACATTAATTGTAACATAAAGAAAAGAGATGGAAGAAAACATGATTAACCTCTTGAAAGATTGGCACATATGCATACGTTTTACCTAATACGTTTTGACTGTTTGGCAAAATATGTTACAGCCACATGTGTTATATATGTACGTTATATTTCTCAAACATCTTATAATAGTGTCATTATTATGATTCTATTCGCTATTATTGTTTCATATAATTTGTTTTAGTTTACATTTTAAATAACTGTATCTGAAACGTCAAATAAAATAATTTTTGCCAGCCTTCAAAAATTAATTTCTCAATAAATTAAACAATTAAGTTATCTGAGAAAAGAATTAAAAAATGCAATACATTACAATATTAACGAGTTAATATTTTTTACGATTAATTTGTCTTTAATTTGATTAATTCACTGAAGAAGTGTGGGATTATGCATTTTTTTAGTATTATAAAATGTCTTCAGCTTTTAATCGAGGTGATAGATCGCTCAAATTTGCCGATACGTATACCTATTAAACATTTCTTATTACTGAATGTTAAAGGTATTACTATTGTAGATGTCTTATTATTGAATGTTAAAAGTTATTAACTTATTGTTTAAATACATTGAGTAATCAGAGTTCCATGGCGAATTTCGAACTACGAGCTATGTCAATCTTTATGTCAATTTCTAAATCAGTTTTGACCATTAGATGAAGAGAACTTGCTACTGTTGACAGGATCGCATCTACACACACAGCAAGAGGGAAACAAGAACCAGTCCATGAATATACCCTTACAGTCATTATCAGGATCGTATGCGAGCAACCTGTGCCACTTATACTTCTGCTCGCATCCGCAGTCACTGCTGCATCGATTCGTTTGTGTTTTTCTGCAAAGAAGAAAATACAATTTACCCAGTGTTTTTATTGTGTAAGAAATCGTATATGAATCTATATATCCATATAATAAACATTTATGAAAAATCACATAAAAACATTTGAAATGAGGTGATTCAGAAAATAGTTGTTTTACTCACGAGCATACTTCTTGATGTATTGCTTGTTCGAAATGTTGAGTATTCACGATGGCGCGAATTTTTCCTGCACTGTTGCTTGCCCAATAAGGAGTCACGATTTCAATTTTCGATTCGCATGCATCAATTCTGCAACCATTACCGCGACATTAATTATTATATGTTTAATCATTTTGTAGCAACAAGAAAAAAAAGAAAAGAAACTATTCTTAAACAAACAGAAAATATTCTTAAACGGGATTTCACGAGTATTATAAGAAGTGTATTATTATTGAATCAATATAGTGTCTATATTATTGGATTAGCCCAAAATACAAACAGCATAAATTCCTTCCAAAAAGTGCATTTTAACGTATGTATCTAGCCAAAGCAAAACATTCCTGAAATATTCACAAAAAAGTTTTCTAAAAAGAAAAATATTCTAAGAGTATTTCGGTATATCCCGAAATATTTACGGAATGTAATACAATTTCTATACTTATACAGCAACTTCTATTCTTATAAAACAACTTTTTGTTCTATAAAGAACACATTTTTACTTTAAAGCCCAGTTTTTGAACTCATTTCATAAGCGAAATGCTGCATTCCTTATATTTCTTGATTTTTATTTACAAATAAATGCAAAATGAATCTCTTTTCCGCGGTCCTCTGTCGGCGGAGATGTTCGAGAGTGATTTTCGTGATATATTCAAGGAATACTCAAATAGCACTTACAAACGCTTACAAAGCACTAAAAAAAGTGATTATGTGCATTTTTTTAGCGCTTTGATAACGCTTTGTAAACGCTGTGTGCTACTTGGATATTCATAAACATTCTGAATGTTTTATCGACATTTGCACATTCTGATAATTCATTTATTGTTCCAGAATAATTTTGATACATTGGGAACCAAATTTTTTAAAAATATTCTAGGCCTCGTTTTTATTAAGCGTGTCACGCGTCGTGTCGTCACGAGTTAATTAATTAAAACATCTATGTGTATACACATAATTTCTCTCTTTCTCTCTTATACGACGCGATGCATAACGCATTTAGTAGAAACAAGACCTTAGCATTATATACGAGGGGCATCACAAAATTAATTTCCTTATCAATTTTCTTTTCATAGCAAAAAAAAGGAACCGATTATATGAGTAACTAGTGCATTATAGAGACTTTTCGTTTGAGTATTTTATTTTAGCAACATTTTTCATTTATGGTGAATTCGATTGAAAGCATTAGAGATTCTTTAATCAGAGACGGCCATAAGGATTTCGTCAAATTCCTCCAAACGAGAAAGGAATATAGACTATCTCATTCCTCCATTAATAGCGGTGTGTGTATATATATATAATATACATACTCACGTTATTTTGTGTACGTCGATTTTAATGTGCGCACTGAATGCGTCCAATCAAATTCGCTATTAGTTTCACTTTCACTGCAATCATTAGGTCTGTTGTTTAAAATTCCAAAAATTGTTGAATTTAAAGTAAGATAGATATATATTTAGACATTAAAAAAAGAAAAAAACGAAGATGCTGAATGTACATAACGCGAATAGGTCTATTGTTAGCTGAGGATCATAGAGGCGTCGATACAAGACAACAATACTATAGATTACAAAATAACAATACTACAAACGTTCGGTAATTCAGTCCTTAATCACAAAAAAAACAGAAATGCAATAAATAAATATTCATAATCAACTAATTTTTATGTGGAAAACAATGAATAAGTGCAAATAGTTTGACGCAAATAGAGTTCATTAACGGTCGCACAGAAATTGCACTTGTCAAAGAAAAACTTGTCGTATCTGTAACTACAAAAAAAATTGTAGTTAAGATAGTATTTTCGTAAAATGATTTTCTTACGAATGTGATAAAATTTTAAATATAAGTAAACTGAAATACTCTATGCTTGTGTGCAATTAGAAACATATAGATTAATTTTTGAGATAATTGTAATTAAAATGTGCAGTTTTAACATATGATGCATATACGGAACTCAAATTAATGCTAGCAAACTACTCATGGATACCAACGTACCTTATGCGATTTTTTACATTGCTATAATTTTTTTTATAATATAATTTGAAGATCCGAATTGAGGCTGAAAAAATCTTTAACTGTCTACAGATATGAGTCCATTATTTTTTTTTTGCATTATTCTCAAGTGAGAATGCACGAAAGTCAAAGAGGATACTTGGGACCCATACGTTACTATTAACTTGTATGTTTTCGATATTCTGAATACCCCAATTTTTATTAAATATACATTTATGTATAAACTGAATTTCGGATAGTAAAAAAGTAAATACACAAAAATGTAGAATTAAAAAGAATTATTTCAATATAATAAATAGTAGAAATTTTATAATCTATGTCAGTCTCTTTGAAGATCGCTCAGCCAAGACTTGTATTACTTTAGAGTGTTACATCGTTCTTTAAACTAAATCCTAATAAACTTAATTATATATATAGTATTATGATAATATTCATACCTGTATATTCTTTGTTTATTATTTTATATTGTTCAAATAATAAAATTTTATTTATTAATTGTAAACTTATAATATATTATAGATTTTTCAAAAATTTTCGATAGTTCAAATAATTATACTTTGTTGAGCGATTCATATCGTACCAATTTTTTTTTGTTAGTCTAAAAAAGTCAACTAAAAAAATCCTACGGGTTTTGCTTGAACATTAAATTAAAAAATTTGAGAATTTTTTTATCCAAAATAGTCATTTTTTGCGAATTTTTCCAATCAAATTTCTTTGAAACATTGTAATTAATAGAAAATATATTACATGTTATTTATTTGATTCATATTTATCTGTCTTCGTCTAATTACGAAGTATAAATTTCACACGTTTTAAGCTAAAAAATATGTATTCAGTCTAGAGATATAGCATGACAAAATTGTAAGGTTTCACATATCCTGATCAAAAATTACAATAGACAATAATAACAAAAATAACAATAAATCTACTAGATTAACATCGGATTTTTAATTATAGCATCCATACTAGGATTGTTATAAAAACAAATAATGGAGGAACATGAAATGGATATTGAAAAAAAAAATTAAAATAATTTTTTACGTTTAGTTAGAAAAACTAGAATCGCAAAAAAAATAATTTTGTTTGACATATGGTAGCGATCGAAGGGAGTGATGGGGAATGGAGAGGATAGTCAGCGATTCTCTAGTAGCACTGGTGTTAGGCCATAACACATAACAAAATTTAAGACGTACCCAAGTAGAACAAAAACGTTGAAAAAATATTGAAAAAACATTTTTCTATAACATTGAGTAACGGTTATAAGTTTTTAATATGTTTTTAAAACGTTTTTAATACATTTATTTTATAAGTATCCATGTTAAGAAATAACAATTAATTAAACGTTTATGAAACCAGTATAAAAACTATTATAAAATTTTTTTTTTACTATAAAAGAACCATTTTAAAACGTTTACCTACAAGTTTAGTTAACATTTTTACAACATCTATATAAATTCTTAAAATAACTCCCGGACGTTCACTGAAAAAAATGTATGTAATTTTACAAGAAAGTTATATGTATATGACCAAAAAATTACCTATGATTAAAAATTTTTCAACAACAAAAAAAAATTTTTCTCTATACCATTTATTTCTAATATTTCTAATAAAATTAGAAATTCCTTAAAATATGTACCTTTTATACGTATGGCTTATAGAAGCAAAAATAAACTTAATAAATTTATCAAAATCCAGAAAGATGTGTTACTCCAATCTTCCCAATCGAATGTAGTATAAGATTGACTGTAAGGATTGATGGGTCGTATGTTGGACAACTAAGCAAATGTCTTAAAACGCGCATAAGTGAACATAGGAGTCATATTAACAGAAACATGATCCAACATTCGATTATCACACAACGTTGTACTTATTTCATGAATTTGATTGGAATAATGTACATATTCTAGACAAAAAACAAATTTTATATAAAAGACTGTTATCAGAGATGATACACATTAAAAAAAAAAAAATTAAGTCTGAATCTATAAAATGATATACTTTCTCTCGATCCTTTATATATAGATTTATTTTCAGAGACGTAATGCTTCTATCGTTCATACTTCGCTATTTATTATTCACTTATATTGTCACTTATATTGTCATTGTCATTATCGTCATTGTAAATACATGTTCTGCTGTCCACTGTTTCTCTCAATTTTCATTTTATATCCATCTACCAAACAGTTATGTAGTCTCTAATAACTCTTAGTTTAGTGTAAGTGAACTAAATTTTGATTTTAATCATTATTTATATTAATTTATTCATATTTCTGTTTACACAGTAAATGGAACAGTTTAATGGAAAAACTCCAAAAAAGCTTACAGAAACAGTTCAATCTTGACAATCATATAAATTTATCACATTTTGTGTGAAAAACTTTATGTTAGCAATTAAAAATATTTTTTAACTTCTTTTGGTTGTTCGATTCAAAATAAAAAATTTCTTTCTTTCAGTTGAAATTGTATCACAACTTACAGATTACGGCTTACGGTTTCTTAAAGCAAGTTTGTGGATCGAGCAGTTGATTTCTTTACTGCTTAAGGGAATGCTGAAGCAAAGGCTAAGCTTAATTAAGATCGATATTATAGGTTTTCATTTCAATATATAAGATGCTTACGCCCTCTGAGTTAATCATGCAGGAAATTCGATCGATTAATTATCGATATTTTTATTCCGTTTCCTACATTATCATCTTAGCAGGGACAAAAACATGTATAGGCTCGATTCTACAAATGTAAGATTTATTTTATTTTAGAAAATTGTTCAATTTTAGAATTGAGAAAAAAATAAACTGGAATTGAAGTTAATCTTATATTTGTGGAATCGGGAACTTTAGAAACACAATTGTATTATATACACATGCAATGTAGGCTGCGTTCCAATATATACCACCAGTACTAAAAATTTGTAATATACATAAAGTACAGATTTTTAACTAATAGTTATATACGAAGCCGTAGCAGACCACTTTTTCCTTACGTCCAATGCCATTAGGTTATGATAATATATTATCAATATCAAATGAATATATTGCACATATTTTATTACAATGTATATATGTATATTTATTACAATGTAACTA